CTGTCTGTCTGTCTGTCTGTCTGTCTGTCTGTCTGTCTGTCTGTAAGTGAATAAATTATTGGAAATGCGCGTCTAATGTACTATTTTTTGTTTTGCAATTCGTGGCTATACAGCTTGAAGAGTTTTAGATACTTTTTTGCCACAGCTTTATATGATGGCAAGGGTCATACTTATCTAACTACACTTCCAATGCCTGAAACCCCCCCCAACCCCGACCTTCTAACACACTCACACGCGCACACACACACACACACACACACACACACACACACACACACACACACACACACACACCTACACCTATCCAAGTTTACAGCACAGAGATTATCCTAAGAATAAAAGCGATTTAGAATGTGTGCGCACGTCGCAGTCTAATTAATCATTTCTGGGCACCTCCTGTGTAACACGGCTTTCTAGGAGCCACAGAGCCAGGTGTATTGCTGCTGTCTGTAGTGTGTGTCGCTGTTTCATCCCGACAGTAAATGATTTACACGCAATCTGTCACCAGGTTATGGTTGTTATTTTCTTAAAATCTGAAAGGAGATTTTGTAGTTTCTTGTTGTTTACAAATACATGAAACAAGAAAGCATGGGTAGAGAAGTATTGAAATGACAAGGAAAGTTGAGAAAACACAATAAAGTTTGTAACAAATATGCCCAGTTCTAAATGTGTAAAGCAATAGCCTACCTTGTTAATACATGTTTGAACACATTTATGTATCGCACGTACTGCTGTTCTTACGTTATGTTGATCTAAAAACTAGACCTATCTATGGTAGTTTAATATGGGCATACATAATACATCTGATTTTGTTACTTTCGTTCTTCTTCTTCAGAGTTCCCAGCCCTTGAGGTTCATTGCTGCAGATATCACCCGCCTCCATTCATCTATCTGGTCGGCCTTCTCTTTCCCGTTGGTAACACCAAGTGTTTGCAGGTCTGTCTGGATATTATCTCTCCATCGTCCTCTTGGTCTGCCTCGTGGTCTACGACCATTAATCTCACTGGTGTATACATTTTTTACTTCTCTTTGATTTGACATTCTTTCAATATGAAGCAAGATTTTGTTATTAGTTTTCTAGTAATAGATTCAATGTCCGAGATTATCATAGAATATCCTCTCATGGCCTTGTCGACGTGGTCAATAGACGGTTCATTATCCATGCAAGTTAGCAGATATATTGCAGAGTTCAGTGACAGATATTCACCGCAAGCAAGCTTCGGCGCTTTCCTTTTCTGACCGTAAGCTTAGTCATTGCACTGTAACATTGTCTAGGCGATCACTTCTCTGCCTACCCTTTTACTTCAATTGTTTGAATAATTAGAAGCCCTGTTTGTTGTAGCCCATCTACATTAATAGACACCTTTTTGTGGTGCTGTAATACAAGTATGATAACTGACAATCATGTGTTGTTACCAGAAGTGACAGGATTCTGCCCCCCCCCCCCCCCCTCCACCAGTACAGCTCTAATGTCGACCCAGTTTAATACAACAGGGGCCGGACATTTTGTCGCATCTTCTGGGGATGGTTTTCTAGAGTAAAGGGACGAGAAAGGCTACTTGCTACCTCTCTTCATATGTCGTTCTCTCGAGCAGTGTTTGTTAACCTTTTTTTTTTTCTGACAATCAATCAACAACAGAAACACAAACAAGTGTAAACAGCACTTTATTTGTTAAATCAAATGTTATAAAATCACATTGTTTAGCTTATACGACATCTGCTGCTAGACAGAGCATAGTAAATCTTACTACTAGGTCAAATTTCTGCTTTAGAAAATCTGATACACGACGGCCTTAATTGGTCAAATTTCTGCTCAAGAAAATCTGATACATAAAGGCGCTTCTATGGTTCGTTCAACAACTCATAAATATACATGCAAGCCATTTTATCGAAGACTGCCTGTTAGATCGCAAAGATTATTTGCATGCAGCCTTAGAATATCCATGAAGTGAAGGAAATATTATTTTCACTACAGACGAATATAATACATAGTTTTTTTTTCCTTCAGTACGATATGAATTTTTATCATGAAAATTGTTTTGGTAGATGTTTGGAAGGTTTACTTTCATTAGTTTCAGGAAGTAATGCACACTATGACTGGTTAAACAGGGGTCAAAGATAAACTTCGTAATTTCATTGTTTTCTCGTGCAAAGTATCACTCTTAGTGACCTGACGCCAAAATAAGACGTCAGTCAAGGTTATTTAGTCAAAGGGCGTATCCACAAATCAGTGTTGAGTTATTGTGTCAGATAGCTAGCTTATAAAAGCTGACATAGACACCTCTAGATGGATTTGAGATTCAAATTTTAACTATGGAGAAAATTACTGTTTTACTCTACCAGCACTTTCTCAGGGAATCTAAGACTGGTCATTTATATTGTTATATTCATGACCCAGAGGAACGAACATGATTGGCGCTTGGTATGGATAGAGCATCTTTTAACCGTTGGATTAGACAGGACACAGAGTATCCATATGTCAAGCAAGGAAGGAAAAGGA